AAACACACTGGTTTATTCTATTCTAACCAGCCAGATAAGAACAACTTTCCTTGATATTTGTAGTCGGCGTTCCCAGCCAGAAAGAACCGGAACTTCTAGAATAACGCCAACAACCAGCACAAATTTATAAATTATGTTTTCGTCAGTCAAATTTCAAATAGTAGATGTGTAAATATGTTGTCTTTTTTATCATGTTATTCTTCGAACACTTTTAGCCGTCACGGTAGCTCAGTCGGTAGAGCGCTCGCTCTGCGATCGGAGAGTTGTGTGTTCGAATTACGGCCGCGACTGACCTAAGTCGATAAAAAATGGGTAGCAACTGTTCATTCGCCAAGCGCTCGGCACCTTGAAGTGAAAGTTGCTGGTCCTTCCTATGAGACCTTAAAGCCGTGGTCCCTTGTTATTGTAGGCGTTGGCACGATAAAGAACCCTCACTGCTCAATGGCCCTGGGTGCCGAGTAAAGGTCTAAATTTGAAGCCCTTTACCGGTATATGGTGACGTCTCTATTTGAGTGACAAATTCTCGAACGGGACGTAAAACAACAAACAATCAATCTATCTAATCAATAGAACACGCTTAAGACAAAAGCTTGTTGTCTTTCTTGGATTATAACTAATTTTACCATCTTCATCTGTTTTCAGCTATTAAAAGTAATTTTAATAAATACAATTTTATTTAAGTTGGAAGGATGGTTGATTAGTTGAAAATTTACTTTTTGCAAGATCTTTCTCCTTAATTTCGACACGTACATGGATAATCTCATTTATGTAAAACAAAATGATCGTAAGAATATTTACTATCAAAATTTTACACAAAACATACTGGATAGCTCCTTTTTGAGCTCCATAACACCTGTTTTTCATCTTATTGAATCCCGTTACAATTTCTGTAAACAGTGGTCTGCACATTACAGATCTCTTGTTGCCATCAAACATCTTGTTTAGTTTTATGTCCACTTTCTTCAGGTATGAAAATTTTCAGGTTTTTATAAAGATTCCCCTAACTTTGGATAGGAAGTAAAATAACACATAAATAAAATAAAACAAAATACTCGCGCAAATTGACTAACAATATAACTTTAATTAATTCCGAATCGTCTCCTCCTGCCCATTTTCTGTCGACGTAGGTACATTCACGTGTATATCTATTATTCGGGGCATATTTTTCCTGCTCCATTTATAGTGATGTAAAAATGACTAGCAATCTAAGCTCAGTTTTCTATGTCTTCATCTCTAGTCACTGATATTTTAATAAAACCAGACACCTAAAGGGGATTAGGGATCGACATTATTAATTATAATTCAATCTTTGATTCATAATTAAGTTTATGTTTTAAGTGTTTTAATATGGTCTTTCTATGGAAATGATCGTTTGAAAATTTACAAGAACCAAACATATCTGTATATTTTTCTCGACAACTGCACTGCTACATAGTTATTATTATGTTCAAACTAGATGCTTTGTGAAAAATGATTTTCCAAAGGAACTTCTGGATATCTTCGCATTTAATTTGTAAATAATGTGTATTCGCGTTTTTTAATTTGCATGAAATAAAGCTGTAATGAGTAAACAATCCGTTTATGTCTGTGTGACTGTCTCCAGTGTGTGTACGATTTTGTTTCCCCCTCCTCTCTTAACGCGTTGCAGTTCTCCCGAATAAAATGTCAAAAATGGTGTATTCTTTGTGTTTTTGATTTAAATACGGTGTACTGTGTATATTGCTTGATTTGCTCCACAAATGATAGTAATTCATTTTTTAGAATGAGTCTTCTTTCTCCTTTGTTAATTCCATGAACTAATTGTCTTAATCTGAACAACGTTGGTTCAGTCAATTTCCTTAAATTATCGTATCATCTATTTCAACAAGCGATATTACACTGAACAATACAATGCTTGAAACACTTTCATATTGAATAAATAGACAAACATGCATACATAACGGTGCCACTGTCGATGTAAATCATACTCTACCCCCACCCTCATCTTCAAGATTGCTTTTTGGAAAGTCGGCAGCCAAAAAAAAAGACAAAAGTGGAACTGAAATAGAAAAAAAGCTTTTGGAGGAAAGTTAGACGAGCAAAAAAAAAAAACCCCAAATTCCTTACTACTGGGCTGTTGTCTTCCTCTTAATAATTAAACGATTCAGAACAAAAAAAAAAAAAAAAACGAACAAACAAACAAACTGGCTAAAATTCCTTCTCTACATCTCTCTTCTCTATTTTAAAAGATAACCTTGTCAGATGTCAGATACCAAACAATTCTTCAAAGCCATGATTTATATGAATTTATTTATCTTTTAATCTTCTCTGTCTTACAGAATTTCATACTTTACATCACTATTGTCTTCTAGCCAAGATTTATATTCATTGTTTGCCATTCATTTTCATCTATAGAAATATATTTGATCTTGAATTTCCATGACCAAAAATGGAAAGATGAAGTTTCATAATACAGATTTATTGGCAATAAAGTTTACTGGTACGGACCGGATAGATGAATGAAAGCTAAATAATTGTCAAGCAGATATTCCTTTAATTTTTTTTATTTTATCATTGGTACTTTTAATCTTTTGTGTTTTAACTTAGATAATTAATTAATGATGGTGTTTAATTCTTAGACGTTACGCGCGATGTTGGTGCCATTTCACAATTTTAGTACCAGACCTATTAAACCTATCGGTGATTTCTTATAACGATCCTCGCAGTATGGGTGAAATAGGTTTTGAATAGATCTACCCGATTCCAGGCAGAAAATAACATTCAAGTAGATTTCATGCAAAATATAGAATTTTACAGCGCAAATTAAAGATATTTTAAGCGTGTAACGCTTTACATTTTTAAGCAGGGATCGCGCATTTTTCTTTGGTAGAGTGTTCAAAAATTAATCTACAGTCCTTATTTTTCTCACAAGACAAGAACAACCCATGACGTTTGTGACGTCGTTAACGACTTTGCATTCAATGGTAGCAAGAAAAATAAAGCGATAGATTCTACCGAAAAAGAATTCCAGTGGACGTTCTTGACGCATAATTTGATTCGCTTCAACGTAATGCACGAAAATGCCTTTAAGAGTGGTTTGCGTTAATAACAATCTTTATCATGTACAAATCAAAATTTTTTGTTCATTTGTTTAATTACAAGTAGTCTATGGCTTTTTTACTATTTATTTCAAGTAGAAAGAGAAAGCGACATGGCATCAGTCTTGCTAGTAGCACTATTAGAAGCGTTACGTTAATACTTCCGTAGCGTTATTTAAGCGTAACTTTAAACGTCACCAACATCACGCGTAACGTCTTATTTTTGCATATTTACCTCCTTACTGCGTGTGCTTCATACAAGAATGTGTCACATTTTTTTTATCGTAAAGACATAATTTCCGGAAAAAAAGTTTATTACAGCTTTATTTACCACATTGATATCTAAAACATGCACCTGTAATTAGACAAAACTTTTATTGATGCTTTACTTCTTATAAACATTAACCGATCAAGAGCTGATTCTGAAAATCCGTCAAGAGTATTAAAAAAAGAAATAAATATTTAGTAAGACTAGATAATATGAATGAAACATGACTGATGCAATGAGATTAATATGGCGTAGTACACCAATAAAAATATACAAACATTGAACACGTTAGAAAACTTTAAAGTACGATGTAACATACAAGAATATGCTTTTCTTCTAAATCTAACTTGAAAGATTTTTAATTGTTAGAGAAGAATTCTATTTTTATCTGATTTTAAGTATGGAAGAACAAATTCATTTTTATGTGTCCAGTAAAAGAATTTATTTAGATTTTTTCTTGGGGGGGGGGGTGTAGTACAAAGACTGTAAATCAAAAATCATTAAATACTTTAAAATATTTCTTTTTTAAAAAGAAATGTTTTCACACTCTGTCCGCGGTCCCAGTGTGCTATTTGTAGTAATCCAACCGGTGATTTTCATCTACCAGAATCGTATGCATGCAGATACATGTAAATGTCAAATTTTAAAAAAAAATCAACAATAAATAAATTAATTAACTACATGTAATAAATTAACATTAAAAATAAAATAAAATAAAGCGAAAAAAGTAATAAGAAAAAAAAAACCGTTTACTTTTATTTTGGAATTTCCGGGTGTGATCTTATGAAGTTATTCGGAACATTGCCTGGTTTTCTGTCCGTGTTAAGCTTTGTGTACTCCGCGGTACTAGGACCAAGTAAACGAAAATTGATAAAGGGGGATTTTAATTTGCCTTGAATCTACAGGCAGGCTCGTAGCAACGGTTTAAAAAGCATGGGTGGAAGGGGGAAAAAATCTGCCAAGGAAAAAAAATATCTAAACGCTAAAATTCTATTCTGTGGGGGGGGGGGGGGGGGTTAAACGCTGGAATATGCCAGTGTTCGACCTTATAGCAACAAAAAATTGGGAGGAGGGGGCAACCAGCATCTAAATGAAAATATATATACATATTAAAACTACAGAAAAAGACTTTGCTCTGAAAAAAGCCCTCCCCCCTTTCACCACTTTGTACGGGACTGTACAATATGCCCATTATGAAGTCATATTTAGCTGCGCAGTTGATGTATAGATCTACAAGTTAATGTTCTTACCCCCAGTACCCCAGACAAGCTAACGCATTTGGATAAAATGAATTTTATATGTTGTCAAACTCCTGGAGATTGAAAATGAAAACGGTTGAGTTTATTTTGGACTCACACTAGTTAGTAAGGCGATCACATGATTGATTTGAGCTACAGTTGGTGAAATTCGCTATTGTGACGTCACTACCTTTATGACGTTAAAAATCCTGTAGTCATAATACATTTCCTAAACTACCAAAAAGGAAGAAGACACGATAAGGTAAGCATAATTGTTAAATTTTAATGCAGGTTTTAGGCATGTTAAACGTTTTACAACTTGAATCTGGGTATTAAAATTCATTTGACCATAATGAAAATGCAATATGCAAGTAATTCTAAGCACACAATTTCAACTATTATCTAATTTCAAGCGTGATGTTCATGAACGTGGCTACGTGTAACTTCTCTATTTTAGAAGTGTGGTATATGGCGATGGAAGGTTACAAAGCATTGAAGTATAAACTGAATCCTGTATATTTTGATATATCCTCTGATGACAGAGTAAAAATGGTAAGATTGACATATATCACAGTGTCTATAGTTATAATTTGAATCGATTTCTCAATGCCGCTCACGTCTTCAATTTTTTTTAGAGGGAATTTGTTCCACAAAGAAAGGTTCAAAGAAGCATTGATAATCTTCAACGTATCAATGAAAAATATGCGGTTGTGAATGTAAGTGTTTGATTAAATTTAAGATACGAACAACGCCTATTTAACACTATTTGTCTCATTATATTAATTAATTAATTAAATACATAAAGGAAGAAATCAATAAACGTCATTGGCGGAAGGAGCAGCCCCACCCCCAAAAAATATACATATAAAAATTAAGCAATCAACTTTTTGTTCTGAGAAATTACATTTATTATAAGTCCCCCTTTACATGAATTCTGGTTCTGCCACTGAACGTTATAATTATTTCTTCTTTTGCAAAAAATTAGAAGCATTAAATTTTAAATTTTATATTAAAATGGTTTGAAATTTTGACGAAACATGATGTACGTGAATTATCTGCATTGTAGGACTTTTTGCCGCGTTGGGCGACTGAGAAATATTTGTGTTCTTTGTATGAAGAATTAACTTCTCAGGAGGTAAGCTAGATTCCAATATTCTACCTTGTCAGTTTACGTAAAAAAGTACGCGCCTAGCATTCTCAAAAAAGGAAAAATTAATATGCACTTTTAAAGGTATAATGAACAAATCACATGTAGGACAAGCATTAATTCTTTAAAAAGCGCTACATAAATTATTTTCGTTATTTCTAGGCAAGAAATTCACCGACGATGAGCCCTGAACCAGAACAAATCAAGGTATGTTAAACCGGAAGAAAAAAATCCCGACTTATGCTTGATTCCCCCCCCCCTTCCTCCAACTGAAATTCATACGAGCCTGTATTGTATAATTTGTTTATTTAAGCCAAGAATTTGAGTAAACGCCTATTTTTTTTTTTTTTTTTTCGATAGAATTACATCCATGACATCATTGCATTTGCAAAAGAAGTACTTCAAAAAGAAGAAGCTGCATCATCTAAGGTAAGGGAAGTAAAAACGAGAGAGAGAGAGAGAGATATATATATTAAATTCGCACATCTTCTCAGAAAGCTTGGGAATTAAGCCCTTTTTGTTTTCCTAGATATCGGACTTTCGTTTGTCCAGTGACTGTGACAAATGGTTCACGAAGAAGAAACAAACAATGGCCTCGATTCATGAGGAATTACTGGTAAGTAATATTGGTGTTATTCCGTGTTACTTACGAACTAGACAAATGTGTCCTCTATTAAAACATGTCATTATACAAGGACATGTTATATCCTTAGGAAAGTAGCTATGATTCAAACACCCTTGTACTTCAAAGTCCAAAATTATTTCCCCATCCCCCCCCCCAACACACACACACACACACACACACACACACACATTACAACTATTACCATGTTTACGGTCTTTCCTATATATCGAAAGCGCTATTTTCGAATTTTTGTGCATATTAATTTTACCTAATGTTTATTGATAAATATGATCGAGGTATTGTCTATTTAATATATTTCCAGAAATGATTTTTAAAACTTTCACTTATTTACACCTTTGTGTAAATCCAAATCCATACGTGCATGCACTGTACATGTATTTCAGATGACATTTAAGAAAAACGCAAATTCAGTAAGGGACGGCGACTTCGAGGAAATAAAAGCGAAGAATGAACACGTGCACGTGGAACATGAGGACCCCAAGGTAGTGAAACTTCGTTATATTATTGTTATTCTAATATTCCAACCATATTCATGTATATTAATATCTATATTACCGACGGATTTCTTATGGGAGTGAGAAGAAGACTCAATTAAATTTTCTATCGATTCAGGGGATTCCGACCGTGAAGAAAGAAGCTGTAGATGATGAATCATTTGTGCCTAGAAGACTGTTCTTGTTCAATGTAGATAGCCTCAGACAAATATCGCAGGTATACACATACTATGAAAACTTTCGAAAATTACTTATCAAAAATAAAAGATTTTTTAAAAAATCTTCCATAGGGGTTAAGTGTATTTTAGTCCAGAGTAAGAATTCATTCTTTTAAATAATTCTGTAATCAAAAAATCAAGGGTCACCCTAGCTTAATGCAGAAAACGAAATAACTCTAATTCTCACTAATATACATAAATGATCCAAATCATCTAGAATATTTTAGTATATAGTTTTTTTACTACCTTTAGTTTAATTATATATTGTTCTAAGCAGTTATCGATCGTCTTCCACAACTTTTAAACTAACTGTCAGTCATGTTACATTCTTATTTGTTTATTTTGTACAGAGTGAAGTCGTCACCAAAGATAAAGAATGTCAAACGCCTGATTCGTCGACATCTTCAGAAAGCTTTGGGAAAGAACTCGCAGAGGAAGAAGTGGTAAATAGAAATGTCAGATGTTTCTTAACCACATCTTAAGGTTCATCAACCTTTTGCTCACAGAAATTCCTTTTCTTAACTCTTGTGATTTTCCAAAAGAAATAAAATGTACACAAGATCAGCATACCTTGTGGGGAAAAGTCCTGTTAAAACAGTCATTTAATACCAGTTAGAGTTATCTCTCTTATCAGAGTGTTGCGATGTATTATCATTTGAGTTTTCTTCTTTTTTCCATGTAGGCACCTTCTCCTAAAAGAAAACAGTCATTCAGGCGACGTCTGTTCAAGTTCCTAGGAATCCGTTAGAGACTGCTTGATTCTGACAATACACTGAAGATATCAACTGAATTTTATTTTTAAACATAAACATTCACTGTTGTTAAACTGTTGTGTTAAAAGCTATTTTTACCAGCTCTCTTGGACGTCTATGACATAATAAATGATGAAGCTGGATGAAAATAAACACCGAGGATATAAAAGATCGGGAATATATAATTTTGAATTGTTCTTTGTTTCTTTCTCTTTGTCAATCGAAAATTTTGACATGGTGACAGTACGGCGCATCTCATAAAAAAAAACTGACTCTATAAAATTTTCCGACAAGATTTGGAATTTTTTTACTACTCATAAACTTATAAACTTTCAGAAAATTACAACTTTCACAATTAAGTAATTTTGATTATTTCATTAAAATTAATAGTTATTTATGGGACATAGATATATACATCGCAACGTGTTCGGGGTTCCACATTCCATGCTATACACGCATGCGTAATTTTCATAAACAAAACAGCATTGTAAGAAGAGGGAAGCCCGGTAGGCCTGCTACATTGACTAAGTCGACCAAAAAGAAACTGAAAATAGAGCTTGAAAAAGCAACTTTCCTGACTAAAATTTATTTAATCGTTGCATGGATGAGGAAGAAACGGGAAATCGGCGACACTCACGCAGGGCTCGCGAAGGTTCTACTCGACAGGTTTGTTGATACGTGTTATTTCTCATTTTTCCATCGCTTTCAAAGAAATAAAATCAGTGTAAACTCAAGATAAAAATACACCTATGACTTATAAACAGTGTTGCCATTTGAAGTGCTAATTTTTTTAACTGTGCAGAAAAATATTTTGTTTGACATTTTGCCGCGATAACGTATGATTTGGTGGTTTTTCCTTTCTCGAACCTCAATACACAAAACGTCAACATTTGTACTTTTAATTCTGTTAAATTCGTCTGATTATTATTTTATATTATTTTATCAGAAAGATATGATAATTTGCAACTGAGAATTGCTTTTACCTCATATTCATTATAATAGTAAACTCTACAGTGTAGACACGTGTCGTTTTAGAATTCACGTTGAACAAATAAACAGATCTAAGATTGCACCAGTTCGTACGACCCTTGATTTTAATTAAATATAATCCTAAATCAAAAATATTCGGACAAGATTAAAAGTGTAAAATTGTATATAATTTTTATTACTGCACTATAGAAATGTTAGAAACCAATGGTTCTAACAAAGTTTGTGTAAATAGAGGTTATGACAACATCCTGGGGTCATATATTCAAGGTCAAAGGAATTTGAAGTGTGAAATATTTGTTTCATTTAATGGTTTAATGGACCACACTTTAGAGATTTTTTTTGGAGTATGTTTCACAATAACTTCTGTAATTAGCATAACCTTCGACAAGGACACTGTAACAGCCCTCTTGAAATGTGTCAGCAGGGGGCGAATCCTGAGTGGCACTGTCATAAAAGAAATGACAGACTAGAAAATAGATCGCTAAACTAAATAAAAGTGCGAAGCACTTTTATGTTAAGTTTGTGAAATGTCAAGAGTTTACACATCGATAAAATTTTCAAAAAGAACGTTTAATTCTTATAATTCCAATATACGAAGTTTTAAAATTATTTCTCTTTGAAGCCTCCATACAATCCGGAATTTCTGTATACAGCGTATACGTAGGAATACTTTATGTCGCGATGTGGAAATGAAACGTAATCGAGATGAACATCGATAAAGTTTAGCCTAAATTGTCAAAACATTCAATAAAACAAACTTATAAAAACTCTTCGAATATTGTTTAAGTCAACGAATATCGTAAATACAAGTAGACTTCAGAAGAATTCGTCCTTGACCATGTTGACATTAACGACAAACGCTCTAAAATGAAAGTAGCATACCGACGACACCCTTGATTTGCTCTGGTTTGTTTAAAGACGGTGCAGAATATAGGATGTAGAAATATAAATTTGATGCTAATAAGACAAGAGTTTGAGGTACGTTTTTCTTTCCTATCAGCAACCAAGAACTAAGCTGATTTGCTTAGCATTAGGAACGACGATAATATCCTATGAGAGTTCACACTCTGGATCTGACAGTGACATAAACATTGTTCATTCCCGTCAGTCAGTCTGTATGTCGTCAGTATTGTTTTCATTTAATTTAAAGATTTTGTAATCGTTTAGCTAAATCAGACTAGAAGTAACGATTTGCTTCATTTCTTTATTTTACAATAAAAGCTAGGCCAAGAAAGTAGTTCTGGTTGAGAGATTTATTGATGTGTAAACTTTTTCTTGAATTTGTTCTCGTCCAATCAAAACACAGGAAAATCAATAAATAAAATTAAGATTGGAATTATTCATGTATAAAAAAAATTACACAATTAAAGGGCAATATTTTTAGTTTAGGTGAGCATAGCTCAAATGAGCCCTCTATCCGTCTGTAAACCTTACACATTTTTTTCTTCTCTAGAACCATTAATTCAAGCCAGTTGTTTAAGCCAAACTTGCCACAAAGCATTCGTTGATTTTGTTTAAAAATGAAGGGCAACCCATTCTTTCAAGGAAAGATACTTAAGAAGAAATAGTGAAAATTTGGAAATATCTTTTACAGAACACTGGGCCAAAAAAGGCTATTTGAAACTTTTCTTAATAAGTATAAGTACTGTTCAAATCATGGATTTCTGTTGTAGTGATGGTGCACAATACGGGATCAAAGTTACATGTATCAATGTGGAGTCTGGTAGAATCTTTAAGAACATCCTGAGGGGCAGCAGGGACATGTTTGGTCAATTTAATATGCAAATTAAACATCCTCAGTTAGTAAAGATTCAAATCTGGACAAAAATAACCCCAAGGGAAGGAAGGGCTACAAAAGGGGAACAAAGTTTAACATATAAAAGGGAAAAAAATTCTCAAGAACAGCCTGTCCACCAGCTGTCATATTGATAAGCAAGCATCCTCAGGTAGTGCAAATTTAAGTTTGTTCATATGATGAAGGGTGGTTGGGGTGGGGTGGGTCTAAGGGGAGCCACAACATGGGAACAGAATTTTGCCTAGCGATAAATAGGAAAAATCTAATATTTAAAAAAAAAACAACAGGGCTTTGATTAGTCACATAAATATATATAAGCAAGCAGAATCAAGTTTTCGAATCAATTGCCCCTGGCTTAGGACGGTATAACAACAAGGTTTAAATTTAAACGTTTATATAGGAATATGAAAGAATCGATCTTAAAATCTCTTTATTAAAGGCCATGGTTAGTCACACTAATATGTAAACATTCCCGTGTATTGCATCAATGGCCCTTTAGGCGAGAGTAGGGCTAAATTATAGAGTCAAGATTTTGCATATATTGACAATTAAAAAAAAAAGTAAGAGTAGTACGTCCAAACTGGATTTTTCTTTATTTTCTACACTTTTAAAACT